AATCTTCTATAAAGGGTGGTAAGCATGCCTGCCTTTTGCTTTGGAGGGAGACTCTATCCCTGTATTCTGAGGCTATACAAACATCTTTGAGAAGATCATTCAGAGCAGAGGGAGGCAGTGCCTCTGCTTGCAAGATGTGTAGAATCATGAGAATGCCATGGAGAATGGTTTCCCAACAGAGGACTTCTCATAGACTTTAACATGCTGATATGTGTTCTACCTTCCATTCCAACAGTGGGCTGTATTATGCAGAATTTCCAAAATTATTGGACCATTTAATAGAGCATTGTGGCTAGCTTCTATGGAACACACATTTAGAAATAGTGGCATATAGACTAGGGCTAAAATTCCTTCGTCTTCCTCACTTCATGCACTCTTTAATCCAAACACATAACCACCTTTCCCATAATTATGTCATGCACTGTCTTATTTTTCTTATTTTTTCTACTTTCCTTATTTTTCTATTATACATGTATCCACATTCTGTCTTATAGTAAAATTAGCCCTATAGTTGTTTAACAGTCCCTCTTAGAATATAGATACTAGGGATCGACCCCTTGGCCAAGTGGTTAAGTTTGTGCGCTCTGCTTTGGCAGCCCAGGGTTTCGCCAGTTCGAATCCTGGGTGTGGACATGGCACTGCTCATCAAGCCATGCTGAGGCGGCATCCCACATACCACAACTAGAAGGACCCACAACTAAAAACACACAACTATGTACCAGGGGGCTTTGGAAGAAAAAGGAAAAATAAAATCTTTAAAAAAAAAAAAGAATATAGTTACTTACTTAGGGGCAGAGCCAACATCCTGTAGCTATCAGTGCTGAGCACATAATGGATATTCAGTAAATGTTGAAGAAATGGCTTAATGACATTTTACAGTATGTCGTTGTGCTAGTCATATTCTAGTCTCACACAGCTCCATAAATCAAAATCAGTATATTTATAAAATATGCTACAACCTAAAAGCATTTAGGCTTTACTAAACCAAAGGAGATAATTTCTAGAGTTTAAGAAATTGCTTTCTCATTCTCTGCTATTCAAGCTGGGATTATTTTGGAAATTAAAAATTATAATTCCATTTATTGTAGCAAGATACACATAAAGAATTTCTGTTAGTGATTTATAAAAATACAAAACAAATTTTCTTCTACATCAAATAGCTTTTAATATTGTCGACGAAAATAATCCATAGCCAATCTGTAAATGAAAATTTGGGTGAGTTTATTCTGAGCTAAAATCTGAGGACCATGGCCCAGGGCCTGTCTACCCGAAGGAAGAAAGGGCACCAAAGAAGTGGGGTGCACAGAGTGGTTGTATACCCCCAAACAGGGTGTTTCACATATGATTGAAATGTCCCTTTTACAGTAGTCGTGAGACTGCTCTGTCGGCACAGCAATTGATAGAAACAGCAGGTAGGTCTGCTGTCTTGATGGACACAGCAGGGTGGCAGGTCTGTTGTCTGGAGCTGGGTGGTCACAGGTGAGCACAGCAATCAGTTCCTAGCCTAAGGAAAGATGCTTATCCCTCAGGAAATGCCAATGTTGGGGGAAGTTGCACCTTTATCTTAAGGCCATTTGTTCTTGCCATAGGAAATGTTTAAAGCAGATATACAATGCATGCTTGGTGCCATGTCAGGCCCTTTTGAAAAAAACAAAGTCAGGCCGAATTAGGTTTACACCAAATGACTTCCTCACATACTCCAGTATCTCCTGTTGCCTGCCATTTCTATTTGTCATTGTTTTGGAAATTAAAAATTATAATTCCATTTATTGTAGCAAGATACACATAAAGAATTTCTCTTAGTGATTTATAAAAATACAAAACAAATTTTCTTCTACGTCAAATAGCTTTTAATATCGATGCCCATTTTAGAGCTATATTTAGAGTTAGCAGTATAAGGATGGTTGTGTGTCCATCTGTGGAAGAAATTCAAATCTTTCTCCAAATAACAGTATCATATGCCACAGTATATAAAACCTAAGCATAGATGAAAAGTGATACCTACCAAAAATAGTGCATCTTATTTTGGCTCATTAATGTCCAAGGATTTTCGAAGCCTACAAGATTTTTTAAAATTTTTTAATTGTGGGAAAATATACATAACATAAAATGTACTGTCTTAGGGTCCAGCCCTCTTTTTGCTTGAGGAAGATTGTTGCTGAGCTCACATCTGTGCCAGTTTTCCTCTATTTTGTACGTGGGGTGCCACCACAGCATGCCTTGCTGAGCAGTGTGTAAGTCCACACCCGGGATCCAAACTTGCGAACCCTGGGTCGCCCAAGTAGAGCACACAAACTTAATCACTATGCCACTGGGCTGGCCCCTCTATTTTTAATTTTTTTTTAGGAACCTCCATACTGTTTTCTGTAGCAGCTACACCATTTTACTTTCCCACCAACAGTGCACAGGGATTCCAGTTTCTCTACACCCTCACCAACACTGATTTTCTGGTTTGTTGTTTTGTTTTTGTTTTTTTAATAGTAGCCATCCTAATGGGTGTGAGGTGGTGTCTCATTGTGGTTTTGATTTGTATTTCCCTAATGGTGAGTGATGTAGAACATCTTTTCCTGTGCTTGTTTGGCCATTTGTATATCTTTTTTGAAGAAATGTCTATTCAAATCCTTTGCCCAGTTTTTGATCAGTTTGGTTTTTTGTTGTGGTTGACTTGTAGGAGTTCTTTATATATTCTGGATATTAACCACTTATCAGATATATGATTTGCAGATATTTTCTCCCATTCCATAGAATGCATTTTCACTCTGTTGTGTCTTTAGCCTACAAGATATTTTTAAAGAGCTATTTGGTATAAAGATGTTATGGTAGTAATCATGGAAATAAAAATTACAATAATGGTGATATACAATATTTACCCATTAGATCAACTTTTGGTAAGAATGTGAAGAAACAGATACTTTCCCTACATTGATGGGTAGAAGTATAAATTTGTAGAGCCACTTTGGAAGGCAATTTGGCTGTATCCATTTTAATTTAAGATGTTTCTGCCCTACGACCTAATAATTCCAATTCTGGAGAAACACTCACATGTATACAGGGAGATATGTACATGGCAACATTATTTTTAATTGGAAAAAGGAAAAAACCTAAAAGTCCAACAATAGCATAATTACTTAGTAAACTGTGAGAGTGAGGTTTATATATATGTACTATCATGGATAGATCTCTCAAACATGATTGAATAAAAAAAGCAAACTGCAGAATAATACAGTCGATACACCATTTGTGTTGAAATAAAGCAGATACAGGGCCAGGCCTAGTGGTTAAGTTTGGCATGCTCTGCTTTGGCGTCCTGGGTTTGGTTACCAGGTGCAGACCTATACCATTTGTCTGTTGGTGGCAATGATGTAGTGGCACCTCATATACAAAAAGAGGAAGACTGGCAACATACCTTAGCTCAAAGCAAATCTTCCTCACCAAAAAAAAGAAAGAAAGAAAAAAAGCAGACAGAAAGCAGTATTATGTTTTCTGTTGGTACATAAACATGTATATGAATAAATTCAGAAAGGTCTAGAAATGGTAACAGTGGCTGCCAGAATGGACTGAGATTGGTCCTTATAACCCTGCAAGTTTTTTTAAAATTTCATAAGGGAAATGGATTCATGTATTACCTAGTTTTTCTAGACATATTTTTTTTTTAAAGTTCAGAGGTGGTAAAGCCAAACAAACATTGAAGACTTTGGCCTAAAATTTGGGCAGCAGTTTGGTGGAGTGAACACTGTCCAGGGTCTGGTTCTTAGCTTTGCAGACTCAGAAATTGAGTGTTAACAGTGTAGCTGGAATTTATCTAGCTCTAGAGACTTTGTGCACACTCACCAAACCATCATAATCCACGGACATGGGTGACCAAAGGGCTGCTCCATTTATTCATTGATTCAATATATTATACCGCCAAAGAGACCAAAATAATCATATCCACTAATCAGTATACCCTTTCCCCTTATGGAAAAGTCTGAAAAATTACTGTTAGAAGGGTTTTAAATATAAAATCAAAGCAAGGGAGTTGGATTATTTTATTGGCTGATGTCTTTAAGTTATAATTGTCTTACACAAGCCAATCTCCACTATAGAGTACCTGCTTAGGGAACCCGAGTGTTTGCATCTGTTAGTCAGCATCTTCTCCCTGGACTTAGTCAGACTTTCTGTTTTCCACAAGTACACTTATATCATGTCAAGAAAGATATAATGCACATGAGTCAGTCATAGTTTATTTACCTTAGCAATTCTGTTGTCTTTTAAAGCATACCAGGGTCTCATGATAGAGAATACAGAAATGTGATGCTTATCAGTAAACATTTATGAACTTTTTAGAATTGACTATTTCTGCATATGACTACCATTTGGTATTGGTTTTCACTGCGATTTTAGAGCACTATCTTATCCTGATCTTGTTTCCTCCAAATTGAGATTGTACTATATTTGGAGCATGCCTCAGCTACATAAGGCCATTTTAGTTCTCATAAATGTATTCTTTTTTTTTTCCTCCCCAAATTCCCCCAGTACATAGTTGTATATTTTAGTTGTGGGTCCTTCTAGTTGTGGCATGTGGGACGCCGCCTCAACGTGCCCTGATGAGCGGTGCCATGTCTGTGCCCTGGATCCGAACCAGTGAAACCCTGGGCTACTGAAGCAGAGTGCACGAACTTCGCCGCTTGGCCACGGGGCCGGCCCATAAATGTATTTTTTGCATAATCTCTGAGCAGATTAAAATGCTTGTGGTATGGGAGATTTTCTATTCTAAAGGAGTAAAATGTAGGTTTCTTAGCTAGGAATTTACATTTGGTCAGTAAAGTATACTAATTGAGGTCATAGGGAGCCTTGGGTTTGAATCCTGGCTCCGGCACTTAGCACTTTCCTTAGGCAAATCACTTAACCTACTTAAACCTGGATTCCTCATATTTGTAAAATGCCTAAATTTCAAGATAATATTTGCTGTTAAGATTATTTTGTTGATAACATATTTTCATGGACTACTTTTTATTCAGCTAAACATGAATTCAGCTCCAACTTTCATCAACTTTCCTGCAAAAGGGAAACCCAAACGGGGTGATACATACGAGTTGCAGGTGCGCGGTTTCTCAGCTGAGCAGATTGCCCGGTGGATTGCTGACAGAACTGATGTCAATGTAAGATTCCCTACTTTGTAGAGAGTTACTTTGCCATTATCCACTTTGAACCTTACTAGGAGGTCCTACTTGGTCTTGTCACCATATCACTGAGGTGGTAATAGTTTGGCAGTCCCTTCTTAAGTAGCGTTTAACAGAATCATCCTGATGAAAGAGTGACATTACAAAACATCCTCTATTACTTTATTGAATTCAGCATGGAAGCCACTCTTTTGACCTTACTAAATCCATGGACTATCTAGTTACTTGGCAAATACTTCTTAATCTAAAAATGTTATGTTGTGGTTAAACAGAATATGGTAGCTATTCCATCCCATTTTAGGCTACATTGTAGACTATTTTGGTTAGGTTGGAAAGAAAAAAGTGTAATTTTTCCTAAAAGTAGCCATAGTAATTTTGATTACTTTAGTTTCAAATTATTTTGATTTATTAATGAATAAATTTCATACTTTAAAATGTTTTTCTCTCCTTTCTGTTAGATTAGAGTAATTAGACCCCCAAATTACGCTGGTCCCCTTATGTTGGGATTGCTTTTGGCTATTATTGGTGGACTTGTGTATCTTCGAAGAAGCAATATGGAATTTCTCTTTAATAAAACTGGATGGGCTTTTGCAGCTTTGGTGAGTGAATTTTAGAAGAAAACTTGAGTAAAACTAATACTGTATTGTTAAGTAGCATTTTGTTTATTTCTTAGCTTTGGGAAAGGATTTTATATGTCTTTATTTTATCCCTTAAAATCAGTTTGTTTCCTCCATGATCTCATTAGGATGGCCAGAGCTTGGAGGAGCTGATTATACTCAGTTTTTATTCAGCCTAAATAGTAGACTGTTACCCCTATGATAACATGTAATTCTTTTGAAAATGTTCTTCTAAAAGGCTTTTCAGTATTTCATTTTGAAACTTGTGTCAGCTTCTTTATAATTTTAAAAGTGTTTTCCTTTTGAAGTAAATATTATTGATTCTTGTGATGAACTTTATGGTGAAACATAAGCCTTAATCAAGAAATATTTTTTCTGAAAAAGTTTTCTTCATGTATTATTTGAGCAGATGCACTTTTCATATGCCTAATCAAGGTGGGAACAGCTTCACCATGTTATATGAATATTTCATTATTTTTTGTTTCCTAGTGTTTTGTGCTTGCTATGACGTCTGGTCAAATGTGGAACCATATAAGAGGACCACCGTATGCTCATAAGAATCCTCACACGGGACATGTGGTAAGGGAAGTCCAGGACTTCCTTCCATTGTACACTAAAGTTAACCATAATGATGATCATCTTTTGAGACCAGTGCCTGCATGTATAGAAGGAACTAGATTTAGTTTTGACTTTTCAATCTCTCTGTGTTAAGCTTCAGTTGCGGAAAAGACAGTGCAGTGCTCTTTAAAGTGGGAAGTTCCTTATCCCATTTGGTGAGTCCTTTTGACTAAGCTTTCTAAGAAGGAAAGTTAGCTTTCAACTAAATAGAATAATTGGTCAAGTACTTGAGCATCTACTGTTTCTAGGCACTGTGCTAGGTATTATTAGACATAGGGATAAACAAGAAAAACAGTCCCTGTCTTCATGGAGTTGACATTATTGTACCTCATGGTCTTGTACACTGAAATACTGTTTTTCTCATATATTCCATTGTTGAAAACATAGTATAAGTACAATACAAAGACAGATAAATCATAAATAACACAGAAACAGCTTTTACTTTAGCCAAACTTACTATTGAATGCCACAGACAGAATGCTTACATACGTCAAGTGAATTAATAATTTGATAGGGTTTGAAAATAGCCCATTTTAGGATTAGGATACCAAAATTTAATGTATACTTAAAATTTTAATTTTATCTTTTTTCCCCCAGAATTATATCCATGGAAGCAGCCAAGCCCAGTTTGTAGCTGAAACACACATTGTTCTTCTGTTTAGTATCCTTTTTGTAATGAGTCCTTGGTGCTGCGTATTTTCTCACATTTCTGGTATTCTCTCTACAGCATTTGATTGAGGCTACTCTTTTATTAATGCAAGTCGTAATATCTTTGGAATGATATTACTGTGTCATCTGTCTTAGCCCAATCAGCTAAAGACCATCAGGGACAAACCTGCAGTCTGATAAAGCCAAGTTTAATGGATCGTTGCTACAAGGGAGACTGCACATCAGAGGAACCATGGGACATCTTACCTAAGGAAAGAGGGTGATAGGATTTGGGGAAAGGGTGGAGCTTAGGTGAAATGAGCATGAAGCAATGTTTTGATAAGCTCTAAGCAAAGCCAGGCTAAGTGTAAAGGGGTCAGCGTCTGGTCTGCACTGTGAAGTGGACCCAGGGTTCTGTTTCTGGAAACTACAAAGTTCAGATAAATGTCAGATTTTGTCTTCAGAAACTCCTTATTTGAAGCTCTGTATTTTGGTTGTAAATTGAGGCTACTTGGAAATTGTACTTGTAAATTGGGTGACTTATATCCTCCAGGCAAGAATGGAGTGTTTCTTCTTATAAAATTTCCTTATAATTTGAGTCAGTCTGTGATTTTAGAAAACAGTGTTCCTCATTGAGTAAGAAAACAGTAGTTACGCAAAGGTTGTTTTGACCTTTTATAGCTGCAGCGCATCCTAGGGAGAAAGATTCTTTCCTGTGAACTTTGTGGCTGCTTTGTATGTATGTTGTCTAGTCCTCTTGAGTGGCAGGGCAGATTTTTACTTTCTCAGTCTCAGCTAATTTTTACTTTCTCACATCTGAAAATTGGTGCCTCTGTAAGCTGCAAGGATAGGTAACAGTGACATCAGATAGCTAAGAGTCTAAATTTCATAGTATTACTGAACATAGTTTACCCACCTGAATATATTAGCAGTGAGTCTGTAGGACAAATGAACAAGGTGAACAAATGTAATGTTCCTGGAGTCGTGCTTCTCAGCCAAGGGTCCTGACATTGACATATTGGAATCAGTTGTAGCCCAGGCTGGTAGAGAATCTGCCCAGTGACCTGATGGTAAAGTCATTTGCCCTACCTTCTTATCTCACCATCGAGATGACTTAGAGGTCATCTAGTTCAACCCTTACTCTATTGAAAATGGGTTGTGCTAGCTAAGAATATGCTAAGAACTTTGAAGGTGATTACAACCAATATGAGTAATTGAATCCCTTGAAAAAAGAAAAATATTTTTCTGATTATAAAAGCAATACAAGTTAATTAAAGAAAATTTAGAAAATACACGTAAGTATAAAGAAAAAAATCAAAACCACCATTAGTAAATGTTTATGTATATCTTTCCCTGTTTTATTTTACTATGTTGGTGATTTAATAGAGGTAATTTAAGGGAAACATTCTGAAAAAAATAAAGCTTTTGGTTTTAATTGAAGGACATTTGGAATAATTATATTTTCTCAAAACAATGTTCGTATGTAATGTGGAAAATAAATTTATTGTTTAAAATCCGGCTCAGAGCCAGGAGAGTTAATCTATTCACACATGGAATGATGGGCTAAAAAGATTAATCTAGTAATAAATGCCTAGTCCCTGTGATAAGAAAGAAGGTTGCAGGAAAAATATTACCCAAACCTTATGTTTTTTTCAAATCTTAAAATTTATTTTTTTAATTCAATTTATGTAAACTCAAAAAACAAAACAAAAAAAACAGTTAACCTATTTCTCCCATCCCCTACCCTCCATTACTGGTACCCACCGCTCTATTCCCTGTATCTATGAGCTTGATTTTTATATATATAATATATATATATTTTAGAGTCTACATATAAGAGAGATCCTATGGTATTTGTGTTTCTCTGACTTATTTCAGATTATTTCAAAATTTAGGTTGAAAATGTTCATTTGTGGTTTGGTGGATAAGCACATTATTATACCTTGGAAATTTTTCAATATCTGGAAATGGTCTCAGTTAATTGTACTTTGAATTTCAACAGTGGAGCAAAAGGGCAGTTAAAATTGTAAAGTATTAGTTAATTGATTTGTGGTTTGTTAGTCTTTTAGCTTTGTCCTAAATCTTTAAATATGATTATATAAGAAGTTTAAGAAATTGGGTTTTCTTACTTTTTCCTTCTTGCCTAAAGGATAGACTTTAGCTTAAGGTTCACATATATTTGAACAGATTACAAGCCTGTTAGAATATAGAATTTCTTGTAAATTTGGTTAACAGGATACAAAATGGGGATTTTTTTCAGGGTGATGCTTTTTTCCTTATTTTGTTTTTGCTATTTTGGTAGTGGTTGGGAAGATCCAGGCAATATGTTCCGAGCAATTATTTTGCTAAGTGCTGTGAATGCATGATTTTTCTAAGGAGCTTATAGTACTGGGACAAACAGACAGTACAGACATTTGTACAGATACAAGATAGTTCCTTCAGTACTGTGTACTAGGTCTGATGGTGAGACGATAAATAAGGCTATTCAACTTTGTCAGAGGTAGGGAACTTTACAGAAGACTTAAAACCCCATTATTTTTTTTAGTGGACACAAAGCCTAAAGACTCAAAAGTTACCATGTTGGTAAGAATTAATAGAATGAGACTACTACTACATAGCAGTTACGATTTTGGAAAATATCCACATATTTATTGTTATTTTAATATTGTACAATTTACTACATGATTAATAAAGCAAACTATATAATGAGTTGCCTGATCTATTAAGCAACTTTTAAAATTATATTTTAGGGGCCAGCCCGGTGGCACAGTGGTTAAGTTCACAGGTTCATTTCACCCATGATCTAAAACCCTAATAGTAAAATCTATGTTTATTTTTGCATGTTCTCTTGAATTCTTTGCCTTTATGTATTTTCTTGGGGGAGAGGAGTTCCTTGTTTTTGCAGTTACAGACATTCTTTGCATGGCGTTTGGTTTCTTAATGTATTATAAGCATTTTCTGTATTGTTGTATGGCCTTCATAGTTACAAATGTGCATGAGAATTACAGAGAAATGAGAAAATATAGGCAAGGAAAAGGAAAAATAATCATCATTCTTGATGTTTATATAATGGATATATCATAATTCCATTATTCTCCTATTGTTGAACGTTACGAAGAATGTTTTTTTGGATATAAAAGTAATTTGGCATATCTCCAAATCCCCAGAAGTAAGGTTTGAAACAAAGCATATGAGTCTGTCTATTGCTCTTGATGTTTTGTTCAAATTGTTTTTCAAAAGGATTTTGCTACAAAAAGAGAGGAATAAGGTTTGCTGCCAGAAATGTATATGTGCACTGATGTCTCTGGCAAGTGCTCACCTTCATTACGTATTCTCATTTTTTAAACTGCGAATTCAATAGGCAAAGGAATTGTAGGTAATTGTTTAAATCTACCTTGGACAATAATAATCAAACTGATTTAAACATTTTCCCACAATTTTGTAATTATGCTTCATTTTATGCAAATGTCTTTATCATATATAATGTACTTTAATTCCGCTAGCTCATTTAATAACCTAGTTCTTGTATGTTATGAACTACCACCTCCTCTATTTTCTATTCCATTTTCCCAGAGTAACATTTAATCATGATTATGTAATTATTTATATTTATTTCATTGTTTATATCCTCCACTAGAGTGTAAACTTGTCGGAGGAGTCTGTCTTTTGTCCAACTAACAGCTAATAGTGCCTGCCACATAGTAAGCAGTGTTAGTAAAAGTTTAAAGAATTAATAAATGAAATGAAACAATGCATATGGAAGGGCATCAGAGCTCTTGATAGCTGAGAACAGCACACCAAGATCTTAGTGGTGTGTTGCAAGATGGAAAGCTCATTCAAAGAAAAAGCGTATAGACCGTGATACAAAAACCCTTCCAAAAACAAAGTCTCAGCCGTTAATCAGAGTACCCTACAACCAAAGCCTATAGAAAGGATCGATCTTTACACGTACCTGGATATAAAGAACCTCAGTAAGAAAAATGGAATTGCTGGAGAAGAAGACTTGGCTAAGCAACTGAAAGCATGATGAATAGGTGTCATCCCTAACAAGAGGCTATTGACAAGAGAGGGCAAGATGGTAATGAAGGGAGGAATAGACAGATTAGAGAGCCAATTAGAAAGGCAGGCCTTATCTCAACACCTTTTTTTCCCTTTCTGCTTAATTATACCCACATACGGTAGCATACAATATGCATGTGTATGCATAATTAATTTGGGCATTTTTAACTGCTGTTTATATTCACCAAACTGCAGAGTGAATCTCTCTTTTCTGCTAGAACACATTCTGTTTGGTTTAAAATTTGATTTTGCTTATTTTAGCATTCAGCCATGCCATGTGTTTACCTATTTGCATAAGTAGTCTATTTTGTATTTATGTAGCTTCTATATTCAGCTGAATAAAAGTGAGGTCATGGCATGTGTGATTTTCTTTTTTTATTAGAATAGGACGAAATTAGGTTAGTACTAATTCATGCTTTAAAGGCTAATTGTTGAAATTCTGGAGAATTTTTGGGAAGTTATTTTTCAAATAAAAATTAGTTAATATTCTCTAAATGGTGCACATTTCAAGTGTGTTCTTTTTTGGGGGGTGGTTGAAATATTATTCAAAAGGGCTATTTAATATTTTTAAATGTGTATGAGGTTGGAGCAATAGTTGGAAGAATGTCCGGGAAGGTTATTTCAAAGTACAATTTCAGGAAGACTCATAGTTCATCCATAAATTATAATGGGACATTTATTTAAAATATCAGTTTTTATGTATACAAATGAAGTAATTTTCCAACCTTAATATTTTTATTTTATCTTCATAGTAAATAATTGTCATGCTGTATAGACACAAGACTACTTATTTTTTGTTACAATTTTTTGTAATTAAGAGTTGAAAGTTTATATATTCACTCTAATTTTCTTCATGAAAGACTAGGAATATTAAAGTGGTATGTCATTTGTGTCTGTGAATTTCTCCTTAAACAATTTTTCTAAGACGGTGGGGTTACCTTAGGGATGGTGCTTTTATGTGAAGCTGCTACATCTGACATGGATATTGGAAAGCGAAAGAGTAAGTGATATCATATGCCAAAATGTAACAGTTCTGCCTTTGATACAGAAAAAAGAAGGTCCTCTTAATCACTTCCCCCCTTAGTTATAAGTATGTTATTTTACTTCTTTACTACTATAAAAGTAATATATGCTCATTGTAGAAAATGTGGGGAAAAATAGGAGTATGAAACATTTGGGAGGAAAGTTATCCGTTATTCCACCATTGAAAAACTAATAATTTTAACGTTGTAGTAGTTCCTTCCATTTGTAAGAACATCTTTAAGAATCTTATACACCCCTTTTTAACTGGAGGTAAATAATTCACTAATAAATATTTTCCTATACATAATTCTAAATTTATTCTCTATATACTGTAATTTACTTAACCATTCTGATTTTGTTAAATGTTCGGTTTTTTTCTAACTGTCCTTATAATAAATACATCTTTAGTGACTATCATGGTATATTAAGCTTTATCCTCATTTCATATTAATTCCTTAAGGTAGATTCCTAGACGTAGAATGATTGTGTGGTCCTGTATATAAGTATTTTCAATTCTTTTGGCGTTGTAAACTGATGATGCTAAATTCTTTCCCCAAATGGTATAATTTAGATTCCTACTAGTGGTATTTAAGAATGCTTGTTTCACTGTAATTTTATCAGCTTTAGATAAGTTCATTAAAAATGTGTGTGTGTATTTGCTAATCAGATAAGGGGAAAATGTTATAATATTTTGTACTTCTTTGGTTATTAGTGAAGTTGAATATCTTCTTAAACGTTTATTAGCTGTTTGTGTTTTCCCTTATTTAAAATATCTTTTTGTCTTTACCATTTATCTCTTAGAGCTTTAGTCCTTTTCCCTTTGCTTTGCATGAACATTTTATATATTAGAATATTCACACATTGTTATTTGTTGCAAAGAAATTGTAACGCTGTAATTTTATTTTACTTACATGAAAATCAGTTTAATTCAAGAGTTTTCCTTTTATGGTTAAAAAGTTGAATGTCATCAAAATTAATCTACCTATGAGCCAGCCCTGATGGTGTAGTGATTAAAGTTTGGTACTCTCACCACTTCAGCAGCCCAGGTTCATTTCTCAGGCACAGAACCACACCACCCATCTGTGAGTTACCATACTGTGGCAATGGCTCACATAGAAGAACTAGAAGGACTTACCACTAGGATATACAACCATGCAGTGGGGCTTTGGGGAGGGGAAAAAAAAAAAAACAAGAGTCAGCTCAGGGCAAATCTTTCCCTGCAAAAAAGAAAAAAAAAAAAACCTAGCTAAATAAAGTGTAATTACTTTTTCTTCTACAAGAGAAGATGACATTGGATTTCAAAATTTAGGAGATGCTTATTTTGCTAAATTGAAATGAATTTTTACATATTAGAAAAACAGAACTAATATATCAATTTTTTTATCCAGACAATATATATCCTTTCATTGGCTAACTTTTAAAAAATTGTCTATTTCACTAGACTTTTGCTGGTGAAGATGATGTAGTCTATACAGAAGTCAAAATATAATGATGTACACCTGAAATTTATATAATGTTATAACCCAATGTTACCTCAATTAAAAAAAGATTTTAAAAAATTTCTATTTCAGTATTCATTGTTAAGAAAAGGTCATCTGGGTACTACACTACTGGCCTGAGTTTAAATTGTAAAACATTTTGGCCACATATATTAATATAATCATAATTTGATCTACTTTTAAGATTCTAACGTAATGAAATAATCACTAATAATAATAAGCATTTCTTGGGGCTGGCCCCGTGGCCGAGTGGTTAAGTTCGTGCCTTCTCCTTTGGTGACCCAGGGTTTTGCCAGTTTGGATCCTGGGCGCGGACATGACACCGTTCATCAAGCCACGCTGAGGCGGCGTCCCACATGCCACAACTAGAAGGACCCACAACTAAAAATACACAACTATGTACTGGGGAGGGGGGGCTTTGGGGAGAAAAAGGAAAAAAAAATCTAAAAAAAAAAATAATAAGCATTTATTTAGCACTTAATGTACTAGGAACTGCCCTAAGCACTTGTAGATATGTTATGTGAAAAAAGTAGAATACAAACATGTATACGTAGTGATACTGTATATATACATGTGTGTGCATTTGATTAGGGAAAAAAGTTTTCTACAATGAGCATATGTTAATACTCAGAAAAAAGTTTAACATTTACATTTTAGCCCCTAATCATATTGTGTGAAAATTTAAAAAGGAGAAAGAATTGTTCCCTAAGTATAACAAAACTAAAAGTTGTGTTTAGTATTGGCCAATAAGTATGTTTCTCTAGAGCTTCCGTTACTGTTAGCACACATGCTTCCCCACATCCCGACCTTTGTGCTTCTTAGCTAGTCTTAGTCCGGGGTCTCAAATAGCCTCAATTTATGGCAGTCATACTTGAGCATTGTGGGGTCAGCATCTAGAGTTAAGGTCGTCAACTACTATGCTAAACCAGAGCGTACGAGATTAATGGAAGAGAGCTATGAATTTAGGGCTGGGAATTGTTTTTTTTTTTCTCTCATTATTCAAATGAGGAATCCATGTTGAATGCGTTCCTCATACAGGCAGTGTCATTGCCTGTGCATGAATAAAATACTTTCAAATGAGGCTGTCACAATGATATCAATGTCTTTAAGTCAGTATTTATCCATAATACAATAAGGTCAGTTTTAAGGATTTAAAAGAAGTTTAATAAGTGAATAAATGATTTTATTGTCAGTAGTAAAACAGTGTTTGTAACACTAAATTCTTGATTGATGGCTCTAGAGAAATTCATTATTTCGTACAATTAAATTGCACAAGTATGTAAATGGAGCTACTCTATTATAATGTAATGGAGCAAATTAAAAGGGAAGGCAGACTCTTGAAAATATAAGAATGGGGATGAAAATTGTTGGAAAGTTGAGATTTATAGCCCTTGCTTTTCACTCTTGGAAGCGTAGACTAAAATTTATGTCCTGGTTGTTTATTATGCTAAACATGCTCATTTTACTCCCCTGTCATTTTTCTGCAGTAATGTGTGTGGCTGGCATTGGACTCGTTGTATTATTCTTCAGTTGGATGCTCTCTATTTTCAGATCTAAATATCATGGATATCCATATAGGTATGATTATTTTTCATTTATATAGTGGTTGCCTATACCTGCAATAATTAGAGTTGATGTTGCTTTATAATATTTTCTTTTTGCTTTACCTCCAAACTATTCTAGCTTCTAAAGCAAAGAGATAGTCTTTAATTTAGGTATGTTGCATATAAAAATTTAAGATAATTATGATATGATGGACAATAGTATGGACTTCTCAGGAACATCTTTCAGGATTATTCTGACATCGTCTAATCTAGAAATCTATAAAACACATAATGATTAGAACACTTTATATCATATCTACTCACACAGTTTCTTGTCTGCATACTCTGCTTCCTCTTGAGGAGGAAATTATTTTAAACCAATTTTTTCTAAACTTATAACCTCTACTTTTCACGGCTCTTTAGATGGCATATATAGAACATTTGATTAGAATCTAGTTTGTAGAAAGTATTAAGAAAGAGTGTTTAAGAAGTTCTAATCGGCTTGAAGTGTTCATAAAGATCTCTAAGGCTCAGGGAGGACGTTACTCTCCTGGTTATAAGTTCTTGACTTTACTTAATAGCCAAGAGAAATGTACCTACATAATGGGGGATGTTGTGAGTTAGTTTTATAATCTGAGTGCTGCCAGTTTCTATAATTCCTATTCTTTTAATACAACATTGTCCTGTTGTATAAAGTATTATGAACACTACAGGTAAGTATATCAAGTGATATTTTTGAGACACAAATTCATTCTTCATATTATTATTATTTATTTATTATTTATTTATTTATTTTGGTGAGGAAGATTGGCCCTGAGCTAACATCTGTGTCAGTCTTCCTCTATTTCGTATGTGGGATGCCGCCACAGCATGGCCTGATGAGCAGTGTGTAGGTCTGTGCCCAGGATCGGAACCCACAAACCCTGGGCCACCAAAGCAGAGCACATGAACTTAACCACTATGCCACTGGGCCAGCCTCCTTTTTTTTTTCTTTTGAGGAAGATTAGCCCTAAGCTAACATCTGCCACCAATCCTCTTTTTGCTGAGGAAGCTTGGCCCTGAGCTAACATCTGTGCCCATTTTCCTCTATTTTCTGTGTGGGACACCTGCCATAGCTTGGCTTGATAAGTGGTGCGTAGGTCCACACCCGGGATCTGATCTGGCGAACCCCAGGCCGCTGAAGCAGAGTGCGCAAACTTAACTGCTATGCCACCGGGCTGGCCCCATGTTTTTAACACAAGTTTTTTTGTAGATAATTTTGAAAAACTCCTGGGTCGATTTGTTATATTGTGACACTCCTACGTGCCTTTTAATCAATGAACAACATAAATTAATCTTCTTTTGCATTTTTTTCTTACGAACTTAAGACCAAAACCTACTAGAACTTTGATTCTTATAATCTTGCGACTTTATACTTTTATTCTGTGTATGTATATTTTAAAATAATTTTTCCTCTATAGAATACTAACTGGGATGGAAGGGTAATCTTGCTGGGACTTGTGTTGCTATTCGATCACCATGGTTGCTTCAATTGGTGTCTGTCTTCAGGAGATAGTTTAACTTGAGGTTATGTCTCTTTCCTGTTCTCCTAAGACTACCTCAGTATCTCAGTGTTTTTGCTTTTTGTTATTGATACTCAATACATGCACTCAAACACTCTTTGGTCTGTTAAAATCAAGATATTTATTAGCAGTAAAGCCTACTTTTCTTTGAAAAACTAATAGATTGGTATATTTTTTTTCAGCTTTCTGATGAGTTAAAAAGGATGCCAGAGATATGTAGACACTGGAGGAATGGAAATCGGAAAATGAAAAACGTGTGTGTGTTTGAAAAGAAGAAGGCAATTTGTGTATTTTGTATTACCTCTTTTTTTTCAAGTGATTTGAATAGTTACTCCTTTAACCAAAGACGATGTGTAGTGCCTTAACAAGCAATTTCCTGTCAAAATCATGAAGTATTTGGATACCATTCTCCTCTTAATCTTCCCTTCCCAATGAACTTTATGGAACATTTAATTTAGTAGAATTAAGTATATTATAAAAATTTAAAAACTACTACTTCATTTTAATTAGAACAAGGTTCAAAACTGCTTAGTTAACTTTTGGCCATGTAACTTTATATTATCTTATCCAAAGATGGAGAAAAAAGTTCTGACCAGGTCTTCCTGCATATGCCTGTGACAGATAACTGCATCAGGAATCCATTCTGAGCTTTTCCATCTTCGCGTGGATGTGTATACTTTGCACATCTTTCGTTTTGGGCAGAGAAATCATGTGTGCTATGTGGTCTTCTGAAAATGGAATTATCATTCTTCAGAGTACACATCTAGCCTTTAGAAAAAAAGACTAGCCAATCCTCCTCTTCCTCCATCTTTCCTACTGGAATACAGTGCTATCTATGCTTCTTGGTAGCTGTAGGCATTAAAAAGTATCCCTAAATAGAGGAATATGATTTCTGCATGAGTGTGGTGTTAACTACATTGTATTTGGAAGGATTTCAGGTTCATTCTGTCTCCCTAGTTTTCTTTTATTTAGGCTGGGCCCCTCTCTAATGAAAATGTACCATAGTGCTAAGATCAGTATAACTTAAAAGTTGTCTAAAATGTTTCTGCAAATTAGAGATTGTCAGCATTTAATTTGTACCTAAGGAAAAAAAATAATCTCATCTGGTTAAGTTGATTTCTGTATTACAGTTACAACATATTTTATTGACCCTTGTGTTTAGGAAAAGGGCTCCCCTAGATTGGGAAAAGAAAATCCTGCAATATTGAGTTGTTGCCTGTGAAGAGAAAGTAAATGTTTTTTGGAAGCTGTTCTGTGTTCGCTATTGTTTTAGCCTTCACTCTCTCACTTTAAGTGGAGAAACAAAGTCAACAGTTGAAAAGGTTTTGAGTCTTGTCCTTTTTTCTCTTAGTGGAAATAACCGTATCTGCTAACCAAATTTCTGTGAACAGTTAAAGTTGAGAGTTATCATTAGGTCTAGCTATAACCATAACACCCCCATAGTTATGAAGAGTATCCTGAAATGCCACTATTATGGAAATATGAGAATTATGATTGTGAAAAAAATTTTTAAAGCAATCTTAGAAGTATTACATTAAAATAATACTGTGACTGCCTGCTACTATTCACCATCTGATAACCCTCCCGTGTGGTCTAGAAGTCTTATATAATACCAGAAAGAGATGGCTATAATTGCCTAAGAAGAAATGCTTTCTGTGAGCTTTCTGTTAGTAGATTTTGTGGGTGGGGGATATATTTGACATCTTACTCTTCAGTGGAGTTAATTTTTGTTAATTACTCCCATGTAAATCATGTGATTCTAGATTCCTTATCTGCTGTTCTTGTACTTGTCTCAGGCCAAATAAATTTATGCTGTGATTCTTACAAGACTTAGATGAAGATGCCCTAATTTGTACAGAATGACCAAGGTAATACTACTGCCATGTAATCTGTATAGCTCCAAATAATTTGCCATGAGCATTGAAAGAATGAGTGTTTTGTATTTGTTTTGTCTCCCTTAAGAGCACATTCTTCTTCTGTAAGGAGAAAAATTACATTCTGGCTAAAATTTGTGGAAAGCAGATTTACTACACTTAGAATAGTGTTGCTTTTATTGAAATTTTGAAATTAGCTTTCATCAGAAGTGCCTTAAGTAGATTCTTAATTTTCTAGTAATGGTTTAAATATTATTTGTTATGCATTTTTAAAATACCATTCAAAATGATACATTGTAGTGGCAAAGATAACCAAATGTCTGGCTGTTTGCTTCTTGACCATATCAATAAAATTTTACAATCTAAATTCTGAGTTTTTGATTAACATCTGAGCAGTGAATTTAAAACACTAAACTAGAATGGTAATATTAGGATATTCCAATTTGAAATAATAATGAAATTTCTTATTGTCCTAACAACAGTGAATTTTTTTTATTGAGGTCATAATAGTTTATAACATTATTAAATTTCAGTTGTACATTATTTGTCAGTCACCATATAAATGTGCCCCTTCACCCCTTGTGCCCACCCCCAACCCCCTTCCCCTCTGGTAACCAATAATCTGTTCTCTTTGTCCCTGTGTTAGTTTATCTTCCACATTGAGTGAAATCATACAGTGTTTGTTTTTCTCTGTCTGACATATTTCGCTTAACATAATACCCTCAAGTTTATCCATGTTGTTGCAAATGGGTCGATTTTGCTTTTTTTATGAGTAGTATTCCATTGTATATATATACCACATCTTTATCCAATCATCAGTCGATGGGTACTTGGGTTGCTTCCACTTCTTGGCTATAGTGAATAGTGCTGCAGTAAACATAGGGGTGCATGAGTCTCTTTGAATTGTTCATTTCAAGCTCTTTGGATAAATACCCAGTAGTGGGATAGCTGGGTCATAATGGTATTTCTATTTTTAATTTTTTGAGAAATTTCCATACTATTTTCCATAGTGACTGCACCAATTTGCATTCCCACCAGCAGTGTATGAGGGTTCCCTTTTCTCCACATCCTCTCCAACATTTGTTCTTTTTTGTCTTGGTGATTATAGCCATTCTGACAGGTGTAAGGTGATTATCTTAGTGTAGTTTTGATTTGCATTCTCCTGATGATTAGTGATGTTGAACATCTTTTCATGTGCCTGTTGGCCATCTGCTTTGGAGAAATGTCTGTTTATATCCTCTGCCCATTTTTTTAATCAGGTTATTTGTTTTTTTGTTGTTGAATTATGTGGGTTCTTTATATATTTTGGAGCTTAATCACTTGTTGGATATATGGTCAGCCAATATTTTCTCCCAGTTGGTGGGTTGTCTTTTCGTTTTGTTCCTGGTTTCCTTTGCATGCAGAAGCTCTTTAGTCTGATGAAACCCCATATGTTTGTTGTTCTTTCTCTCTAACAACAGTGAATTTGATAGACCAATTTCCTTAAGTATTTCTAGATTGGGATACATGCTTTCATACATTATCCTTCGCTAATGTTGTCACCCATTACTTTAGTCAAAACAGCCAAGATAGATGAGTCAAAGAATCGCTGTTTTCAATGGTTATCTAGCTTCTGTCCCAGTCAGTAAACACTGTAAGTAATTTCTTTTTGCTACTAAATAGTTGATTTGAAACAGTTACCCAGACATATTATCAAGTTCTATGAGACTGGGCAATAGTACATTTTCAAACATGGAGTAGGAACATTGGACAGGACGTAAAGAGATCTGGCTTTTAAACAGGTTTTAGTCCATACTCTTTCTGTCTAGCTTTGTGACCATAGGGCAGTCCCCTGAACCTCTCTGTACCCGTTTATTTATTCTAATGTGAGTGCATTGAACTAAATCACCTCAGTGTCCCTTCCAGCACTACTGTTCTATGATGCAAAATATTAAAGGTGTATTTACATTTTGAATAGAGATCATTTGTGATATTCAGGTTTGGTGTTGAATTAAATCAGCTGGAATGCAGGATGTTTTGTGGTCAGATTTCTGAAGAAGCTGTGAAATGCTTATGGGGGCCATTATAGCTGCTAATTGTATAATAATATGCATTGAAATATTTTTTAGAAAGGATACACTTGGAACCAATATGTTAAATGGGTTCTGCCCAATTATGAGCAAGGATGAGATCAACAACGGTAACAGTATACTAATATTATAGAAAGTCAAAGCCCAAGGGACCTTCGATGCCATTTAATCAGCCCCTTCATTTTGACTGCTAAAGAAAACTGGCCCTAAAGAGATGAAGCAATTTCCTGAGGGTTATTCCACAGAAATGCCTTCAGGTTTCCCATTTTGCTGCATATTGCCTATGGATTAGGTTCACTTGGAGATTCAAATTACTCCCTGGAGACACGAAAACCGCAGTTAATCGACCTTGGTTGCTTCCTGACATCTGAATTGTTGGGAGAAGGATCCTAATTAGAGACATTTGCCCGGAGGGGCTGATGCAGGTTTTAGAAGTAGGGAGGAGTTTTGATTGACTCCTTTTAATACAGGAAAGTAGAATTTGGGTGAGGAGACAGCAGCAGTAGCCTAGAGATTACTCTTCAGAACTCTTTGTACTTCCTTTCACTCTCAACTTTCCCTGGGCGTCCTTAGGGGAAAAAGTACTGATGACTGTCAATCATAAGATAAATACAAATCAAAATCACAGTGGCATACCACCTCACACCCATTAGGATGGCTACAATCAAAAGAACAAACTAAATGTTGGCAAGGATATAGAGAAATTGGAACCCTCGTGCACTGCTGCGTAGTGGGAATATAAAATGGTGCAGCTGCTATGGAACATAGTATGGCAATTCCTCAAAATTAAAAATAGAATTACCATATGATCCAGCAATTCCTCTTCTGGGTACATGTCCAAAAGAATTAGAAGCAGAATCTCAAAGAGATATTTGTACACCTACGTTCATAACAGCATTATTCACAATAGCCAAAAAGTAAAAGCAACCCAAGTGTTCATCGACAGGTGAATGGACAAAGAAAACGTGGTATATACATGTAATGGAATATTACTCCGCTTTAAAATGAAGGGAATTCTGACACATACTATAACATGGATAAACATTATGCTAAATGAAATAAGCCAGTCACAAAAGACGACAAATACTGTATGATTGCACTTATAGGAGGCACCTACGGTAGTCAAATTCATAGAGACAGAAACAATGGTGGTTGCCAGGGGCTGGGAGAAGCGAGAATAGGGAGTTATTGTTTAATGGATATAGAGTTTCAATTTTGCAAGACGAAAAGAATTCTGGAGGTTGCACAGTAGTGTGATGAACTTAACGCTACTGAACTGTACATTTACAAATGGCAAAGATGGTCAATTTCTGTATATTGTACCACAGTTCAAAATTAAAACAGATACTAATGCCTCGGCTCTGACTCCGTGTTGACGTATCCTCGCGGACACCACTTTGTATTTGGTCATTGTCCTGAAAATGTGAGTATAGCTGGATAGAGTAGGACTCGTGGTGGAAATGTTGAAGCATGATCTTCAGGCTCTTCTGGGTGACAATTTAGGGGCATTCAAGTAAACCCTGCCTGCAGAATCAGTGATGACTAGTATATTTCTGTTTTTTTTCTTTTCTTTGTGAGGAAGATTCACCCCGAGCTAACATCCCTGGCCAATCCCCCCCTTTTGTTTTCTTTGCATGAGGAAGATTAACCCCTAGCTAATATCTGTGCTAATCTTCCCCTACTTTGTACATGGGATGCCTACACAGCATGACTGACGAGTGGAATAGGTCTGCACCTGGGATCCAAACCCGCGAACCCCCCAGGCCGCTGAAGCAGAGCACACAGAACTTTAACGTACTCAGCCATGGGGCTGGCCCCTGATTAGTATATTCCAGTGAGTGCTTTGTATCCTTTTGTGTGTGTCGGGGAGGGGGAGGGGCAGGCAGCAAAGATTGGCCCTGAGCTAGGCTGTTGCCAATCTTCCTCTGTTTGCTTGAGGAAGATTGGCCCTGAGCTAACATCTGTTGCCAATCTTTCTCTTTTTGCTTGAGGAAGATTGTCACTGAGCTAAAATCTGTGCCAGTCTTCCTCTATTTCATGTGGGATGCTGCCATAGCATGGCCTGATGAGCGGTGCTAGGTCCGCGCCCAGGATCCAAACCTACGAACCCCAGGCTGCCAAAGCAGAGCATGCGAACTTAACCACTATGCCACCAGGCTGGTCCCCGAGAGTGCTTTTAAATGATGACTTCCAGCTGGAAAAAAACACTCTTAAGAGGTGTTAGCTACCCAATATCCAGACTCAGAAATAATCCATTTGATCTGAACCTTCCAGTTTATAATGCTTGGCCGTGGCTCTGTGGCCACCAGCTGCAGCTAGACAACTTTGGGTCTGAAGTTCTTTTTATGATCTTCAAATAAAATAAGTGAAATATTTTCTCCCCCTCCAAATACAGCTCAAACATTATAATTTCTGGGAAGCTTTCCTGACCTCCCAGTTTAGGTTATATACCCTTCCTCTCTTCTTTGGTGCATGCTGATCTGTATTATTTTATGTTATAACTGCCCTGTTTCTCTCCTAAACTGTAAGCTCCTTTGGAACAGGGGTATTGTCTTACTCGTCTTTGGCTCACTTTCTAAAATGCCTGCATGTAAGTAAGTACATGCCCAATAAATTTTCACTGATTCAAGAAAGAAAAAAGATCTTTACCCCTGAGTAGCTTGCTGTTTTGTGGTGGAAACAAACATGTAAACAAGTGCAATCCTATGTGCTAGTGGAAAAATATGTGTTATATCGTGGGTACAGAGAAGGGTTTGATCACTTTTGGGGGGTTGATGTGGGAGGGAAAGGGGAGAGAGGCTTCTGTGACAGGAATTGAAATTTTAAAGGATGATTAGTTCACAAGGTAGATTTTTAAAGTACTGAAACAGCAAAATATTCTTATCAGTATAGTATTATTACAGTACTTTAAGAAAATCTTGTCAGTCATTTATCTCCTGAGTCACACCCAAAGAGTTACATGGTACTTGAAAATTTCTAAATGAACAAGAACGCACTACTTTAAAAACATTCTTACCACTCTTACCCTCTTCCAGTTTTGAAATTCGTCCAAGGTATCTTGTTTTAATTACCAATTTCCAAGTTATTAGTAACTCTGAACATGTTTTCTTATTAGTTATCTGCAATTTCATTAGAACCAATTTGGGCCTCCATCTAATTCCAAAGGTCTCCCATGGAATCTTCTTAGAATTGAGGTAGAGAAACCTGAGGGAAACAGAGAGACTAGTAAGGAAGTTTGAGGAGAAAAGGGAAAAAAAGAGGCAGGTTTCCAGGACCAATTCAAGGACCCCTGAAAACC